GCATTCCCCTCAAGTCCGTCTTGCATCACGGTGGGGAAGTCCCGGTCCCTGCCCAAGAAAACAGAGGTGAAGAATTGGTTAAAGAGGTCTGCTTTCTCCTCTGGCACAACCACCAGATTGCCCAGAGGATCTTGCAGGGGCCTTGGAAATAGTAATTGGAGCCAGAGGATCTTGCAGGGGCCTTGGAAATAATAACTTCCAAAGACAGAGAGAGGAGACTATATAAAGAAGCATCAGCAGCAGACATCTGCTGGATTTTACACCCCCCTCAATGGACTTGCTCTTTCTACCTTTGCTTTCTCAACCCAATGGCATTAGGATAATTTGGGGAAGCACCACATTCATCAGAGAGGTGCTCAGGAACTGATCCACCAACCAGGCCATATTTAAAAAAAAACAAAACACCACTGGACAAATCTCTACACGCCAGTGCAACAAGGCTATGGGGTAAGCAGCCTTGGAGTTGCACTGCTTTGACTCCTTTTAAATTAAAAGTTCACTGTTAAAGGTGCATGGCTATCTGTGAGACAGCGGTCCTTAGCTTCATAAAGCTTGGCAACCACTTTTTTGGCTAGTAAATCTCTGACTGGTTCTTCTCTACCTCCGTGCTTGAGCGCACAGTCCTTTTATTGGTTATCCCCAGATCAAATCTTAATTTCCTTTTTCTCTCTGAGAGTACCTTGATCTGCACTCCTGACAAATCATTCTACTCCCAAAGACAGCAAAGCTGCTGAGCATTTAGAGAGGCCATATGCAAAGGCCTCCAGGGCAGGGGCCAGCAACTTTCTCAACCTGTGAGCTGATATGACCCAGTTCAGGTTCAATATGGGCCAGGTGGCTTCCATGGCACATCAGTAGCAGGGGGCTTTTCCTGCTCCTATACTGGGGCAGGCAGCTGGGAGCTGCACTTGCACTACTTCCACCTTTGCCAGGCCCCTGCTTGCTGGCTGGGACATGGGTGCAGCTTCCAGATGGTGGGACTGCTACTACTTCCACACTGTGGCTTGAAGGCAGGGTGGAGAGGGGACAGGGAAGGAGGCAGGGAGAAGCAGTAGCAGCAGCACGGACACAGCATCCAGCTGCCTGACCCTGGTGCAGATCCCCACTAACTAAAAGCTGCATTCATGCTGCAGCTGGGTGGGGGGTGGGGAAAAGTAGTAATGGCAAGGCAGAGCTCAAAGTTGCCCAGCCCCAGTGTAGTGCAGCTCCTTGTTGCTTAGCCCTGACGTAGGCAGAAATTTGGCTTGCAGGCTATACATTGCAGACTCTGCTCTGCGGAGTGGAAGTAGCTGAGAAAACAGCTGCAATAAGGTCAGTTTGGATCATGCATTTTACTGTATAAAGACAGTATGCAAGACTGAGCTCCAGTGCAGGCCAGAGACATGGTTCTTCCTTTCCCCCTACAAGAGCTCGACATTGTTATAATCTAGAAAGGTGACAGCTTTAGGAAACTTCTTTGTGCACTGGCTCCCAGTGTAGCGGCAACTGGGTTGACACTTAACTACCTGCAAGTCTCAGGAATTCCGCTCTACCAGATAGGAAGGGGAAAGGATAGAAAGTCCATAGATAATGGATTGTTAGAAGAATGGACCAGGAGAGGCAGGCAAAGCTAAAAATACTAGTTCCTTTAACACTTTGGTTCATTTTCACTCTCATGTTGTCAAATTCTCCTCCCCTGGCACGCAAACATATGGAGAGGACAATCTTGGCACAGGCAGATACAACCTAAAGTAGGTGCAATTTTCAGTTATCGTCAAACATGCACCGTCCGTTTAACCTAACACAGCATGCAGGAATGCCACGCATTTGAGTAACCTTAAGAATTGTTTGCCGTACCTCAAGCTATACAATCCATAAGCATCCTAAGTTTCCTAATTGTGTACAAAGGAACATAACAGATACCCCAAGACCATATATTCATCCAGTAGATGCAGTCAGGCATTAATGTTATATGAAAAACACAGCATATGTATCAGTGAATTAGTATTCAAAGTACAGCATGCCACAGTAATAATTGAGGTCATCATAAAATGAAAAGGGGAGGTATAGGAGTGTTAACCTTCCAAATCTAAAGCCAAGGCAGTTTAATTACCATTTCTTTGAGAAGAAATAGTACTGCAAAGAATAGTTTAACCCCTGGAAATTCTTTTCATGCTTGAAAACAAAGCTGCAGGAACATTTCATAGTGTAAACTCCTGAAGACAAGGCCACAAGTTCCCTTGCCTTGCATTCATACAATCCCCAGCAAGTGGTCCGTAATTCACGTCCTGATCCTTTGGATGCTACAGTAACGTATGAAACAGTAAAGACTTTAAAACAAAAGACTTAAACTTCACCTAGTCCCAAAGGCTGGACAAGCGTACCCGAGTTACTTCGTGGGCTGGACCAGGACAGACCCTCTGCAGTGCACCGCAGGGCTCTATTCTGCCTGTGCAAAGCATCTGCCAGCTCCTAGGGCTGCCTTGGGGTACGTGCTGCCCAAGGTGCAAGGGCTGTACCCAGCACTGCAGACAGCATGGGGCGGGGTCGGTTCAGGGTGCCACATGCAGCCTGTGCCTAGGGCTGGACTGGCTACGTATGCTGCACATGACACAGGGGGTCAGTCCACGACACCCTGCTGATCAGTCCCACTCACTGGCTCTGGGTCCATGCACCTCATGGAACATGTGCCTCATGCTGACCCCCTAAGCCACATGCAGTGCACACAGCTGGTCCAGCCCTGTGAGCCATGTGCAGCATGTGCCAGCCCCAGGACTCAAGCACATGGTACCCAGGGCTGGCACAAGATATGCACTGCCCATGATGCTCACATGGCACAAGGGATCTGGGAAATGGGCTGCAACTGGCATGCTGGATCGACTCCCTGTGCTGCCTTCAGCATACATGGCACCAGGTACAGCCCACATACCAAACATAGCACGCAGGCCCAGGGCTGGTCCAGCAACCCACAGACTGGATCATATGGCTCCATGGGGCCCACAGAGCATATCTTTAACACCCCCAATTTAAACACTGCAGAAGCACTGGGCAGCTTAACCATGATTCTGGATGTAATCAAGATAAAGGACATCAAGTCAGCATTCTAGAGAGAGCTTTTTAAAATGACATGAAACCTCCTACATATATTTCTAGGGAGATTAATTGCATTTAATCTTAAAAGTTTGCTTCATAGGCAGTACAACTTGCTATAATAACTTAAGGGAGAATTAGTTACAAAATTCAGCAGACAAAATAAATGTTTTCCCTCAGCAAACTAGTTTTCTAAAGCATGGTATTAAAGAGGACCACAAGTATGCAGTGTGCTTTTACGATACTGGCATTTTACTGCAGAAAGAAAGTTAGGAACAGGCAGCAACCAGAGGACAAAAAAAGGAAGAGGTTTATAAAGAAAATGACCAGGAGATAGACAGCAGCATAATGAATATGAAGAAAGATATAGACAGGAAGCAAAAGGAGATGCCCATGCCACACAGCTGTGTGATACGAATGTTGTTACTATGGGACTGTTCTGTTCGTATACCTTTAATCCCAAGCACCTCCATATAGAAAGGAAAATGCTAACAGGAGCACTACAAATGCAAAAGGGACTATAATTCTCCTGTAATACAAGAATAGGAATGTATTTAAAGGAATCTTCAAATTAGGACTGCATCAGTAATGGTTTTGTTTAGTTGGGTGGCCAAACAGGGGAAGGCAGGGGGGAAATAGGCATGGCAGACTGGTAGAAAGTGGCGTGAAGAGAAGAAATCAATGTTGAATAAGTACATTTTTTTTTGTGTTGCCTCACTGAAAAAAAGCATACTCATTTCATTTTAGCATAAATATAATGTTGCATTTATCCTGAAGCTAAGTTTTAGTTCCAGCAATTTTAACAGAATCAAAGAAACAGAAGGTTGGCCACACTCGCCACTCACTCCCAAGTAGCTAAGATGTTCACCCAGGATGTGAGATACCAAGCTTCACCATCCCCTCCATTCGAGGCAACTTGACTCTACATAGCCTGACATTCAGGAGAGTGCCCAAGTTGCCACCTTACCAGGAACCTACGTCTTTGGAAAATAAAAAAGTCCAGTTGTGTGTGGATGCAGTTTGTTTCTAAATCTAGTACCAAATTCTATCCTGATAGAGATCCGGGGCCAGGGCCAGCTCCAGCCCCTGTGCAGTCCCAATCCAGGTGATGATCATCTGCCATCAGGGACCACAACAGGACCAATTCAAGAAGAACAGAAAAGAGGAATGAAGAAAGGGAATAGAGGAAGGGAAGATGTAAGATGTAGAAAAAGCTCTCTAAGCTTAACCATGGTAAATAGAGACTTGCCAAAAAAAAGTTATCTAGGAGACTCCATGTGGTGGAGACTTGTCTTGGAAAATATGCAGAATTTCTGAATCAGCAAGTTTAGTTCAACCTTATAGGACAATTCTTTGCTATCACCATATTCAATAACAGCTCATGCGTGTCTCTGAAGCAAAGCTGCTTAGTGCAGCTCCTAATACCAGAGTCTGATCTAAACCCTCACTGAAATCAATTGAAGGATTCCCATCTACTTTAGAAGAATCAAGCCACGCTCTTCATGTCCAAAATAGAGGGGGAAAAAACCCAGCAGACAACAATTGTCACCTTTGTTGATGGCATCAGCAGAATAACTCAAGAGTCTTTCTTTCAATAAAAGCAGGTGTGCTACAGATCAAGATTCTACCACGTTGGCATGGTGGAGCCAGGAAGCCTGATGTGGATACACATCACTGGTAAATCAAGTCTGTGTTTTCCCTTAAGTGGGCAAAAAGGCAGGGCACAGGCAAAGTGCTGGAAATCTCTTTGTTTCTATCTGGGAACAAGTAGGATGTGGATGTTCAAATATGCCACTATCAGGCCTTTTGTTTCTGGCCAAAGAAAAATAAGTTCTCTTTAATATGTCATTGCTATTGATTTTGGTTGGCATTTCCAAGTTATCAAAGTGCTCTCCTACCGGTCTAAAGTACAGGCGACCAACCTGAGGCACATGTGCCACGGACAGCCTGTGTGTGTGTGTCACCCAGAAGATCATGGAAGGGACAGGCAATACTGCAGTCAATACGACAGGAAGCAGAAAGCAAAGCAGCGTATTAGACCACAGGGGATCAGAGCAGCACATGGGAAGGGCGCAGGTAGTTTTGCTGGCCTGGTAGAGGAGGCGCCCTTCTTGGCCTTGAATGACTCGGTGTGGTTGGAGGATAAAGGCCTGTCCCTTGCACTGTGAGCAGCCTGACCCCTGCAAGAGTCTATTATTTCTCCAATGTGAGGATCTTGGCTATGCAATTTATGTGACCGGGGGGTGGGGGGCGGGCGGCTGTCCTCGGTCTCAGCCTTTCCCTCTAGCTTGCTCCTTCAGCCTTTTGGCTAGGGGCAACCAAGACTAGGGGACATCTGAACTCCAAGGTTTCTGGGCTTGAAGCTTGTGTGTAGGATGCCTGCAATGGATTTGGGAGTATCTGAAAGCCCAGCTTGAAGAGTCTGGGAGACAGGGTACTTGCTTGTGGTAACACCATGCAGACTTGAATGATTGAGCTCTGCTTAGTCAACAGAATTTAGAACTAATTTGGCTGATTTGGCCCTAGACACGAAATTAAAACAAACAAACAAACAAAAAAAACCTGTCTGATCAAGTGAGACTGGAGACATTTGAACCCCAAGGACTCTGGGCCTGAGGCTTGCCAGCCTGGATTTGGTGAGTATCTGAAACCCCAAACCAATGGGTTCTGGGAGTGAGGATTACTTGTCTGGTGGTAGAGTCAAACAAACTTGAAAACTGAGTTCTGCTCAATCATATTTTGGAACTTGAGTATTGGGCTTTGCCCAATTGAATTGTGAACTGATTTGGCCTTGAACCAGATTTTAAACAAATCTATATACAGCAATACACACACAATTAGTGCAAAAGTGCTGCTTAAAAGTGTGTTTATAGAGTACTTGTGCTAAATCTTGCAGCAGTTTCAAAAGAGATAAACTGCATCAGTTCTGGATTGACTAAGTCTATGGGTACCTGGAGTCATTTTCCCATATGCAGGTTACTACAGATATATATTTATTTCTACGTCTGTATTTTCAGATTTGCTTCCCACTTCCATGTGCTCAGGGAGAGCAGTATCTGACAGTAAGGAAGTGAGGAAGGGGCTGAAGGGGAGATAAGCTGGTGAGGACAGAGGGACACTTGACTGTCCAGATTTATTTTCCCTGCTGTAGAAGTGGGAAGGGGGTAAATTCAAGACAAAACTCCAATAATTAGATTCTATACCTGGAGAATTATAATAAATTTATAAATTTGTCATATATAGAATCTAATTATATGGGGACTGTCTTATATTCAGGGTCATCTCAATTTCACGTAAATATGGTAACACACCTTGGTTTTTATATCTTTCATTTATGAAATTGTGAGCACTAACTGATTAGAAAGCACTGAGGGGTTATATTCAGACTTAGTGATAGAGTTGTTAATTGCTCATTAATGTAGTCATTAATCACACTAGTTTCCACCAATTCTGAAGGTTGCCCCCAAGGTTTTGTGGATGAGACTTTACCTCTTCTGAATTTGTAATGGCTGAAGATCCCCAATCGGCAACCCCTCTGGAGTAAAGTATTTCAGTAGCTCTTTAGCATCCAGCAATGTCAATGACTCCCTCTGACCATCCTTATGTCCTAGCAATTGCTCAGATGAATGTGTCAACATGGAACCTCTGGAAAATAAAAACAACAAGAACTGGAATTAAAGAAACATACTTAATCAATTCTGCCTCATCAAGTCATTGATAGCTTAAGAGAGAAAATACTGTAGATTTCCAATGCAACAACTGGCATCACCACTGCAAAACACTGCTACATAAAACTTTATAAGAAAACTTCCTTGATGTTAAACTCCTTACCAACTTTCCCATTATAAATTATTTTCAAGATTTCACAGCTTAGCTGTGAAATTAAATAGAGAGAATCAATCATTCAGATATTCAGCCTGTGGGCAAATTTTAAATACTTCCAGATTAATTTTAAATTTCATGAAAAAGTTGCTTACAGCATAAGCAACAAGGGAAGTATTATATGACCTTCCACTCATTTTTTTCATTGAATCTCATTCAAGGACAGCAAATGCTTCCTCTTTCCTACTGACAACTAGCTGTGGAGCACCAAAGATTAACTAAAAAAACAAAACAACCACCTATGTGGAAAAGGATACAATTATCTTTTCTTCTTGGGATTTATACCACACTTGCCTATTTGAAAGGGATGAAAAGGTTCTTGAGATGCCACTCAAAAGGCACAGTTAACAGAAAGCATGTTCATTACTTAAAAAAAAAGGGGGGGCTGTATTTTGAAAGAGAAACAAGAAGGTAGAGAGTTAAAGATGTATGTGAGAACTCATATATAT